TAGCACCTTTTGCCTGTTTCAGCTGATCTGTTACTTGCTTTTGGTATCTCCTGAAGCTCTCAGGCTCTACAGAAGTGAGTTAGGGTGGTTTTAGCAGAGCCTTCTTCCAGTATTTCTCCAGGTTTGGTAGGAGCCTAATGGCTGGTAGGGGATAATAAAGCTGGAGATAAGGAATCCAGGTTAAGCAGGAACGTTTTGTTCTTAAAAAAATATGGACTAAGAACCAGTACCTGACTAATATATTTTTTTTTTAATTTCCCAAATCCAAATTATGGCCTTCACTCTTGTCCCTTGCATGCACATGCTGTTTTTCTGCTTTTTTTATCCTTGCTAGTATTAACACATGGGATGAATGCATTACAAACGTCTTGGCTGAATTTGGAAACACCACCACAGTCCAGGATGTACCCTAGTGTGCTATCCCTGGGTCTCTTGTGACAACAAAAGCCTGTGGTCTTTGTCCTTAATGTTTAACAGGAGTTTTTTAATGCGCAGCTTCTTCTTTTATCAATTATATGAGTTCTTACTTGAAACTTTTTGTAATTTTATAGTTTGTCATCTAACTGCTTAATTTTCAATGTTGCTTGGTTTAAGTTTTCTCTTTTAAAGAAAACCAAAAAATGTTAAAGTGCGGTTGTTCAGCTATGCGGAAAACAATCTGAAACACAAGTTTATTTTAAAGTTGTAGAAAGGGATATTGTTAGTATTTCAAAAACATTGTATGTAAAATCTGAACTTAAATATTAATCTTCACTAATTATAATGCTTAACTAAAGATTTCTATTTTAAATACGGACTATAGTTATAGTTAGCATGTCTATTTTTCACTCTTTAGCATTATAGCTGCAACATCTGTTCCAAGTGTAGAGTGTTAATGGGGAAGAGAGTAGCAATTATTTTCTTTGGAAGAGAACAACCTTCAGCATTTCGGGTGCTTTTGGATTTTGTAAAAATCCCTTTAAAAAAAAAAAAGTTGTAGGACATGATAGAACATTTCTCAATACAAGGAACAGATTATTGAAGTGCTTAGTAATCAGAGCAGGCTATTGATGTGATCTGTAGATGTGTGTTAGATGCATCTCAGAGCAGGTTTTCAGTGAAAATGGAAGGAAATACTCTTGCATTTCTAATTTGATGTGCAGATTATTGAAAGTTATTCAAGAAAAAAAAAGTGACACTGACATTTTTTAGTTAGTAATTAATTAGATCTGTATTTTTCAACACTTACATCAAGGGAGTCTCCTGGTATTCCCAAGACACCTCCATGTCTGAAAAGCTGGTTGAGTGGCTGCTGAACTTGTTAGAAAATACTGGGGAAAGGCTTGGGATGGTTCTGATCCTTGGGCTTGGGGGGTTTCTTGGTTGGGGTGGGGATGTGTGTGCTGGGGCATCTTGAATCATCTAGTCTAATTTAGGTGTCTTCCCAGAACAGTTCTTCAGGTAATTCTGAGGTGGCCTCAGTGGGTCTCCAAGTCAGTAGTGGTGTGTGACTGAGGTCTTTCTCACAGAAGGGGGGAACGAGAAGTAGATCCACTTGCTGCAGTGTGGGTGAGCCTGGGGTTGTCCTCACATATCCCGTTGCTGGAGGGTTTTAACACACACCTGAAGGAGCAGGTTGTGAAAGCTTAGTGAAACCAGGAGGAATCAAATGCCCTAAGTTTTACTAGGGTGACTATATCATACTGTATAATTTAAAATAATTGTACTTTAATAAACTACTTATACTTGAAGCTAAATAATTTCAGTGACAGATTTAAATCTTTTTATTCCTTGTGCAGAGATGAAAGATGGTATGTATGTTTGACTGATCTGGGTTGTTTACAGTGTGCTTTCTGAATTGCCAACTGTTTAAATTCAAATTAATACTGGAGGGGAAAAAAAATACTTGATTTTGCCCTGAAATCAAGTGATGCAGATCATGGAATGGCTTGGCTTGGGAGGGACCTTAAAGATCAAAAGATCCAACCCCCTGCATGGGCAGGGACACCCCCCATCAGCCCAGGTTGCTCCAAGCCCCATCCAACCTGCCCTTCAACACTGCCGTGGATGGGGCAGCCACAGCTTCCCTGGGCAACCTGGGCCAGGCTCTCATCACCCTCACACTCCAGAATTTTCTCCTCATGTCTCACCTCAATCTCCCTCTTCCAGCTTTAATCCATTCCCCCTTGTCCTCTCACTACAAGCCAAAGTCCCTCCCCAGCTAGAGATATTACTATGTAGAAGATATTGTTCCTACAAGTGAATTGTTTCTACAAGTGGAGTTAAAAATAGAGTATGTTGAAAACTGCTCTGCAATGTTAACTTGCAAAATTTATGTGTGTAAGTCTTGAGGAATGTTGTCTTTGCTGTTAAAATACAACAGCTACACAGATTATTGCAATAAATAATCTTCTTATTTGCTTGTGGTAATTCCCATGAAATTGTTTTCTGCAGTGAGGGGTTTTTCTTGGCAATTAGTGAATGTTGGTCAGAGTTGGAAGAGCAGATGAGGTTGCACTTTCCCTCTAGTAGCTCAGTGTCCAGAAGAAACTTCACATCTTTTCCAAGGATGAATTTTAGCCAGGATCACTCAGTGAAGCTTTGGCTTCCTGTCTGTCCTTACCTGGTGTAGAAGTCAGAGAACAAAACAAGCTTTTGATAAAGAAGTAATAGTCATGCAGGGTTACTCTCTCCCATCTGAATTGAAGGTGAAATGCTTTTTGTCCTTTGTGATGGTTTTGTTTAGCACTGATTATGTATTTTGCTTCTTTTGTAGACTTGCAGCACTAACCTTTACCTTGAATGTATTACCGTGGTTCTTCAAAGAATACAGTGCCAGAACGTGTAGCTTTAAAAACATGTAATTTAACTAGCTGACATGTAATTTTTATTCCTTTTATTCGTTTTCCAGAAGCAGCTAATACAGGTAGAAAGAGCAGATCAGGTCCACTGAGCCATCTGGGCACTCTGGGAAGTGCCTCATGACCATTAGCTGGTCACTGTAACAACTGGGAAGAATTAGACAAATGAAACATCAATATGTATGCAATACCAAATTGATGTCAATTAGCCAGGAATAGATTTAGACATGAAACTTCTAAACATCAGGAATAAATGGGCTTTCAGATAAAACAGAGAAACAGGGACAAAGAACCTGGGTGCCTTTGTTTGATAAATCTATGGGAGGACTGGGTTAAAGAAAACAGTGATGAATGTTCTGAATTTATGCCAGTTTGATTCTTTGAGTCCAAAGGAAGTTGAAAGGAGAAAAGACATTTGTGCTTTTGGAGTTCTTTGCATCTCTCGTGGTAATTTTGTACCACATTTCAACAGGTTTGTGTTCAGGACAAAATGATATTTTATCTCCTTAGTATGTATTCATGTTTTGGAGCTGTTTTCCACCCTCAGATCAGCTGCATCTCAAAAAGGAGTGAGCTAAGAGTGATCCTAGCACACCTGCTTTCTGGCTGCTGTTAGGCCTGTGCTTAGAGCAAAGCAGGTTGACAATCAAGAAATTTTTCATCCAAATGAATTGTTAGGGAATACTGGGGGATTAATTTGCTGTTCTTCTCCAAGAGCTTCGTAAATGATCTGCTGCCTGGAATAGTCTGAATTTTATGTGATGAATGTGCTGCTTATAGGTGCTGAAGAGACCTTTGATCTCACAGCTTTCTTCCAGTGACCTACCATAGTTATGTCTGTTGGGCTTTTACTTCAGGTTTCAAATGTAGGGGGTTCCAAGAAGCAATTGGGGTGTGTTAGAGGTACTCTTCTGTGTTACTGTCCATTGTGGGGCTGCGTTCACTTCCCTTGGTGGTCTTTTTCATCCCATGGTCCTAAATTGCATTTAACTGCTGTGTTTGTTGGTTTTTCCCCTTGCCTTTGGTTTAGGCAGTCAGTTTTTTGGACATTTTGTTAGGGGATCTGTTTACTTGAGTAACTACTTCTGTCCCCTTCAGCACTGGGGTAGGTGCTGGACTTTGGCCCATCTGTGCTCCTAAAGAAAGCTTCGGTATATTGCCTGGCTTTAGGAGAGTCCTTTTCAAACTAGGCAGTGTTTCTAAATGGAGAATATTTCTATTTCAGCTCAGTCAATCTGGAGGAGTGACTGTGCATGTTGCATAGACAGAGGGGATTGTACCTCCGTGTCCAAGTCATCTTACCTGCTACTACAATTTTACTCAGACTTGTATGTGGTGTGGGAGCCCTTAGTTAAACAGTGTTTGTCTTGAGCTTATAAACCATATGAATGTTAGTGATTATCTGTGGTGCTGATGTGAGGTAGGAATCTGGTTACTCTCTGGGCTCCTTGTATGACTCAGGTTTAGACTGAAGGTGTTCAGTGACCTCTACTGTGATTCAGGTGCTACTGATGTAATCTCAAATATGTTCAAAGGGACTTATAAGTATCTTGATACTGTATAAAGAATCCACATGGACTGAGATCCAAGATATGCATTTGGCAAGATGTGTTACGGTTTGAAGTGATCCTGTTAAGCTGCAATTCAGCTGCCTTCCTACACAAACATTTCTCTGGGCTTTTGTGTTCATATATGATCGTTCTTCAGTGTTCAGCCCCCTAGCTTGTGCTTGATGATGGGATTATTTTACACCCATGACCCAGAAGAAACAGCTACCAAAGATGATAGTCATGATGCCAGCAGTAACCATGTACCTGGGTGTTAGGGCAGGTGCATGAGGCTTTCTGGCCCATTGATGTCAAACTGCAGACTCATTTCCTGTGATTTAAATTTGGGATCTTCCTGGTATCCTGAAAGACCTCATCCTGGATATCATTACTGTGACACTGCACTTGTAGAAAAAAGTGTGGTATCTTTCTACCCTAGCATCAAGTAAAACCTGTGTAGGAGCACAGAGTGTGAGAAGGTTCTTTTGAGTAAAGTGTTCATCTTTTTTGTTCAGTCTTCATATTCTTTACAAAGCAGAAGTTAGATTTTTTTTTTTTTTTTTACTAGATTCAAGACTTTTGTCTGAATTTTCCTCTAAAATTCTGTTTCCAGGTTGCTGTATTTACTTCAACAAGAAACCTCCAGCACAGAACTGAGAACAGAATGCGCAGTGGTCCTGGGAAGCCTTGCAATGGGTACAGAGAATAATGTCAAATCCCTCCTAGACTGCCATATTATCCCAGCCTTACTGCAAGGTACTTTTCCTGTCATGGATCTGTGATAGCAGACGTTCCTGAAGTACTCAAATAAACAAAGGTGATGGAGCTGAATAGTAGTTTTTGTGTTTCTAGGATTACTGTCACCAGATCTGAAATTCATCGAAGCTTGCCTGCGATGTCTCCGTACCATTTTCATCAGTCCTGTTACTCCAGAGGATCTCCTATACACAGTAAGTTGTCAGCAGATCGTTATGTCCTTTGAAAACCTGTACAGTTGGTGGAGTGAAAGGTCTTGTCTGCAGTAGTAACAAGGATTTGTTGGACCAAGTTTTAGCATTTCTCACCTGTGCTTAGGGCGTCTGGGTCACCTAACATTAAGAGCAGTATTTGATATGAGATGGTTGACAAGGTAGCACACAGATAACCCTAACATTTTCAGGCTTCTGTGCAATCTTAAGGAATAAAAACTATCTCTAAATGGCGTTTACAGATACTATTATCACAGCATCTTGCCAAAAGTTAAGGTTTTGAAATGCAAATTATTTTCTGACACTGTCCTCCCTTTCCAGATGTGAGCATTCTTGCTTAGCTTGCACTTCATGTGGAAGAGGTTCACCTCCAAGATCTCTCTGCTTTTATTTTAATATACGTGCAATTTGCATGCAAGTGGCAGGAGGTTTGAAAATGTCCTCCACCAGTGCTATAATTCTGAGTTCAGCTTGGAATATGTGAGCAATAAGGTGCTGACCTAGTTAAGGTGAAGCCATGGATGTGGAGCCCTGTCTGGAGGTGGTGCTGTCTCAGGGCAGCCTAGACACAAAAGGCCTTGCCCCATATCAGTCACTGTCCCTTATTGGAAGGAGGAGAAGAAGGGTTTGCACTCTTCCCCCCTCCTTTGTGCCAAAGGAGGGGATGAGGCAAGCTGTGGCCTGAGAACTGCTGTCCCAGCAGTGTCTTCCTGCTAGGAGAGGGGCAGCATTGCACTGGTCTGCTGGCTGGAGCTCACTGCCCACATCCTACTGCTCAGGGTAGTTGGGAGCCCACCACGCTCACCACTCCTGTCCCACCACTCCAAGGGGGGACTGTCACTTGCTGAGGAAGATTTGAGACATATGGAGAACAGGCCAGCTTGTCTCTGATTTCATACTTTCTCAGTGGTTCAGATGTCTCTGTCATTATATCTGACACAATTTCTGTGTTTAAAGTCCCCAACAGAATTTCTTCATTATTTTTGTCTTGCTATGCTGTGCTGTAATGTTGTCTCTTTTGTTCTCTATTCCTTTACTAATGATTTCTTACATTGTTATTCCAGAAATAGGTATGTAAACTGGTTTGCTATGGACTCAGTTTTACCACAGACCTATTCTGAATTTCATCTGCTAGTTAGTCCATCTCATGAAGTCATTCTTCAGCTCTTGACAGCTTACCCTTGTATTTAGTCTGTGTGGATAATCAGCCAGCTTTGTCCAGTTGTTTTTTGGTTGTTCAGCAAGTGGCACCCTCAGTGCAGATTGTGTGTGTCACCACTGCAGGCACCTCTCTTGGCTGATCTGAGAGTTTTCTCTTTGTATCTGTCCCTTCCTTTGACTCCAGCCCTTGCTTTGACTCCCGTTCATGCTCCCAGCTTCACCAAAGTCGTCCTCTAGGAGTTCATAATTGCAGGGGCATCTGCTTCCTGCTCTCAGCATCCAGTCAGGGCTGAAGATCATCATCTCCCTAAACAATCCATGCTTCTTCCTGGGGATCAGTGCTCAGTACAGACTCCTAATTACTCTCTATTTGAAGGAGAGATTTGCTATCTTGAAGAGGAAATGGAAGAGTATGTACAGATCTGTGAAAGAACCAGTATTAGCATATACATTTCCAGTAACGTTCTGGGAACACTGTGCCTAAGATAGTGGGTTTTCTGTTTCATCCTCTGCTGTACAGCAGGGACATCAGAACTCTGCTGCTCCATTCCTTATTCAGGCCAATGTCATGGCCCTTAATTAACTATAGCTGCAGGAAACTCATCTGGTGAGGCTGCCTGTGTTCTTTATTTTCAATTATAACATCCATTTTCCAATCTCCCATTCCAGTTGGACACTTGGAAGTTAAATATTTTATTACTCTGCTTAAGGTCCTATTTCTGCAAACCAGCTTTTTTTTTCCTAGCCTTCTGGGAGAACCCAGTTGTCAAAGACAATAGAAAGGGCTTCTTCAAATACACTGCAGATAGAACTAACACTAGGGACAATATAGGCCCACTGCTGAATGAGGGGGGGTGTCCTGGTGACAGAGGATATAAAGAAGGCAGAGGTACTGATGCCTTCTTTGCCTCTGTCTTTGCTGCTGCAGGCTCTCCCCAGGAGCCCCAGATACCTAAAGCCCCAGAAGAAGTCAGAATAAAGGAGGAGTTTGCTATGGTAGATGAGGTTTGGGTTAGGGACCAGTTAAGCAATCTGGACATCCATAAATCGATGGGTCCAGATGGAATGCACCCATGGGTGCTGAGGGAGCTGGCGGAGGTCATTGCTGGGCCACTCTCCATCATCTTTGGTAAGTTGTGGGCAACAGGAGAGGTGCCTGAGGACTGGAGGACAGCAAATGTCACTCCAGTCTGCAGGAAGGAGGACCCAGGTAACTATAGATCAGTCAGCATCACCTCTGTCCCTGGAAAGGTGATGGAACAACTTGTTCTTGGCACAGTCTCTAGGCATATCAAGGATTGAGGGGTCATTAAGAGCAGTCAACATGGTTTTACCAAGGGGAAGTCATGATTGACCAACCTTACAGCCTTCTATGAGGAAGTAACTAGGTGGATAGATGATGGTAGAGCAGTAGGTGTGGTTTATCTTGATTTCTGTAAAGCATTTGACACTGTCTCCCACAGCATCCTTGTAGATAAACTGAGGAAGTGTGGTCTTGATGGTCAGGTAGTGAGGTGGGTCATGAACTGCTGGAAAGAAGAAGTCGGAGAGTTGTAGCCAACGTGAAGTTGCATCTGTGTGCTGAGGGGAGTTGAGCACTGAGCTTTTGGAAAGACCAGGCTTTCAGTGTCTGATCCTGAGTTCTTACCACAAGTTGCTGCAGCACAGCAAGCTGGATCTGTATCTAGACCTGCTGTGCCAGGTAAACACATCTTCTGGAGACTTCCTTCTCTGAAAGGCTGCAGGCTTTGATGGCCAGGGCCATTTAGTGACCTTCCTGCAAATGGAAATGAGGAATGGCAGGAAGGCCCAGGGCTTAACATGCAGGTGTCTGTTGAGATGCAGATGTGTGTGCAGACTGAAGTTGTAGGAGTGTATGTGGAGGTGTTCTGGATGTCTGAACTAGCCAGCTCTGTGCAGCGAGGTGCCTTGGCTTGATGAGGAGACCCAAGCACTAAGTCAAATCCAGGCTGTGGCTTCATCTCTTGTGTTTAGAACAAAACAAATGGACATGAAGGTGTTCTGCATGTTTCCTTACAGATGTTCTCAGTTGTGACCCCATTTTTCTTCCTCAGTGGGATGCAGACACCGTTTTATTGAGAAATTGCTCTCTGTGGCTTCTGTGCTGGCCTGGGAGGAAGAAGCAGGTAGCAGGTACTTTCTGTGCTGAGCATGAGTGTGCACTTCCTTCCTTGCAGGAAGCTTGGAGCATGAAGGCACTGCAACAGGATGAGCTTCTCCCTGCTGTTGAAACAATAAAGAATGAGTTTCAGAAACCTCACTTTTTCCAGCTTACATCAGCTAGTACTGTTAGTGAAAGGCAGTCCTACCTGCTAAGCAGGTTTGAGATAGAAAACCTAATGTCACCTGGTGATCAGCCAGGCCTGATGAAGGGGAGGAGGAATGATTGAGAGGCCAAGGCAAGCAGGACAGAGTGTGATATGTTAGACTGATAACCAACCAGGTATGCAAGGAGCATTGGAACCACACTGCCAAGTGTACACATGTTCCGCCATGGCTCAGGATGGTTATTAAAGGAGGCATCTGAGTCATCTTCTAATGCCCTGCTCCTTTTGTTCCTCCTATTTGTGATGGTTGAGCCCATGCAGCAAGGCTAAATGTTGTCTCATCTGAATGGTTTCCTAAAAACGAGAAGGATAAAATTACTAATTCCAGCTTAGCGAGCATGAGTATAAGTTGTTTGGATGAATGTAAGAATTACAGTTCTCTGACTTCAAAAAGAGAGTGATAATCCTATTACAAGTAAATGTTTTAAGAAAAAATCTTGCAAATTTTGTTTTCCTGTTAAAAGAGAATGTGAAGGAAGTAGGTTGGTATTGGTTTCCAGGTAGGTAAATGCAGCTCTCTCTTAGTTCTGTTGGATGAGCAGGAATTTTGTCACAGTGCATATGATGGATAAGTATTTGTTGTAAGTTGCCTGGAACTAGTCTTTGTTAGCAGACCACATTGTGCTGGGTTTGTGACTCTCATTGTTTAAACTGCAAATGATGAGTGTAGACTCAATGTGCTTGCTAGAAACATCCTTTGTTACTTAGATATTGATAGGAAAAAAATAGAATCATCATACAGACACATAATTACTCGTTGCATTTAGCTGGACGTCAGTGATGTCCGCACATCTTTTTACTCTTTCTAGATTATTTTCTGGTAAACATACCAAAATTGTTACAGAAGTTGGATATATTGTAGCAGAATCAAGGGGCAAAACGAACATTTTCTCACAAGGATTAAGGAAGCACTCTTGAAACTTTCCAAAAGTTTTTAACCTTTTTATACACACATTTCTGATTTGAAGGAGGAAGATCACAAAGTGTATAAAATATATCTTTAAAGAATTGCTTCTCAAATGAATCTTTCTGTAGTCCAAAATATCTAATAAGACAGTTCTTCATGTAGTGGTGGGATTTCAGGGAACCATTACTCTATTGGTTGCAAGGATTCATTAAGCCTTGTATCATGTCTACAGTGTCATGGCTGGGGTCACACTGGCCCTGTCAGTGTGGTTGATATCAGAACAGCCCAGTCTGAATTAAAATGCTTTTCATCATCCAAGATGAACACCTTCCTATCCAGGAATTTTCCATGGGGCACACTGGTCAGTACTGTGTTGTGTTACACAAACCCCTGTGTGCCATTCTGTTCCCATTTCCAGAACTGTATGGTAGAGCTTCCAGACAGTTAGGGGCTCAGTTTCTGTGCACTTTCATCCTTACCAAAACTCTCCAATCTATCAAACTACGGCCACAAATACTCATGTGATTGATACAGTTGAAGTTGTAGGTGAAACTGAAGTGTTGCAGGGTCATGTTCCTGGCTAGGATGTGAAATAAATCCCTTTCCTGGTGTTGGACACAGGAAGAATGTCATGCAGTCATCTGTGCTGAGTAGAAGAGTTGAGCTGAGCAATTACTCAAAGGTGAAGGTGATATATTTTTCTTCATAGTTGGGGAGATAAAAATAAGATTATGTAGAGATAATGTTCTAGTAGAATCTGTGAAAGATGGTATCAGAGAGCTTCACTTCTCCAAGCTTCTTGTTGATGTGCAGTGGCTCCTGTCACACAGCTTCCCTTCCTGCACTTTGTGTGGATTTTGTTATGGTTGTCACTGCTGTTACACCAGGAGGTGTGGATTTGATGGCCACTGTTGGGGTGTTCAGCCTGGAGAAGAGAAGGCTGTGGGAAGACTTTATAGCACCTTCCAGTGCCTGAAGGGGCTCCAGGAAAGCTGGGGAGGGACTTGGGACAAGGGCAGGGAGGGAGAGGACAAGGAGGGGGGAAGGGATGAAAACTGGAAGAGGGGAGATTGAGGTGAGACACGAGGAGGAAATTCTTTGTTGTGAGGGTGGTGAGAGCCTGGCCCAGGTTACCCAGGGAAGCTGTGGCTGCCCCATCCCTGGCAGTGTTGAAGGGCAGGTTGGATGGGGCTTGGAGCGCCCTGGGCTGATGGGAGGTGTCCCTGCCCGTGCAGGGGGTTGGAGCTGGATGATCTTTAAGGTCCCTTCCAATTGAAACCATTCATTGTTCTCCTGCAATTAAAACAAAGTGTGATTAACCAGTATGTGCTCAAGATAACAAATTCTTTGGAAAGGGAGACTCATTCAGTCTTTCATCTCCTTTGTTCAGCACCCTTTATCTCATGGAAGTAATTTAGCTTATCACCTTTGCAAAGTAAAACAACCAGTGTTTCTTTTACTATCACTGCACTTACTGCCACTAATGTGTACTGGTAAAAGCACCTGAAAGCTTTAAAATGTGATTTGGATCTTGGCACAGAACTTAAGTAACTGGGTGTGTTTTCAGAAGGGAGGAACTTCATAATGGTTTTCTTTTGCTGATTTGTTTGGAATTCTCTGTGAAACTAATAGAGTCAATAGGGTATGCTTTACTTGAAGGAATGGATGACCCCACATTAATTGATTAGAAAGTGAGTGCTACAGGATGCAAGATGGACTGGGCACGGTTCAGTCTGGCACCTTGTTCCCCCTCCCTGCTCTTTTCTACTTAAGAGTTGAAACAAAGAGGTAAGTAAATCATATTTTAGTGAGAAAATACTGAGACAACTCCTGGACTAATTGCTTTCAGTGACCACAGTTGCAGTCACTGTGTCTTTTTTCCCATTCTTTTATTGTTTTCTCATGAAGCAAAGATGTTGGGGACAAATACTGGAAGTTTTTTACTTAACTTGCATTGACCTTTTATTTTTTCCGTAAGGATTTGGCTCAGAACTGTCACTTCTGTCTTGAAGTCCATTCTGTACTACTTTAATGGTCTTGCCCTGTGTCCATACAGGTTTCAGTGGAAGGGAGGACACTGAATGCAGGAGTACTCTTAAGTAATTAATTGTGAAGAAACTGTGCTGAAATACAGTGTTAATCCTTTTTTATTTTCTGGCTTGTTTCCAGGATGCTACAGTTATCTCCCACCTCATGGCCCTGCTCAGTAGGTCTCGATACACGCAAGAATACATCTGTCAGATCTTCTCACATTGCTGCAAAGTAAGAAAGAGAATCCATGTTCCTCATGCAATGTGTGTAAGATGATACTGCCTTTTGTGGCAGGAAGATGAGGACAGTAATGGCTGAACTGTTAATTGCTCTGGATTTGCTGATGGGTTTATTGGAGTCAGTAGATGTTCCTCCATGGTAAAGCAAAATAGGCAAATAAGTGCATTTTAATAGGGTGTGTGTACAGGGAGTGGATGAGCAAGCAGGTCCTAGAAAAGCTCAGACTTCAGAAGGAAGCATCCAAAGGGTGGAAGCTGGGGCAGGTACCTTGGGAGGATCACAGAGAGGTTGTCTGAGCAGCCAGGGTCCAGGTCAGAAGACCCAAGTCCCAGATGGAATTAAATCTCACCAGGGATGTAAAGAGCAGTAAGAAAAGCTTCTGTAGGTATCTTGGGGATAAAAGGACAACCAAGGGAAACGTAGGCCCTCTCCTGAAGGAAGTGGGAGACATAGCTATCCAGGATATTAAAAAGGCTGAGGTTCTCAATGACTTCTTTGCATCAGTCTTCTCTGGCAAGTGCTTCAGCCCCAACACAAAGGCCACAGCAGGTGAGAGCAGGGACTGGGAGAATGAATTACCCCCCACTGTAGGTGTAAAGCAGTTTCATAACCCTCTGAAGAACCTGAAAGTAAATCTATGGGACTGTTTGGTCTGGAGAGGAGAAGACTGAAAGGGGACCTGATTAATGTCTATAAATATCTGCAGGGTGGGTGTCAAGAATGGGCCAGTCTCTGTTCAGTGGTGCCTGTGATAGGATGAGGGGAAATGGCACCAAGTGACAACACAGAAAGTTCCACCTCAACATGAGAAGGAACTTCTTTCCTGTGAGGGTGACAGCCCTGGGACAGGCTGCCCAGAGAGGTTGTGGAGTCTCCTTCTCTGGAGACTTTCAAGACCTATCTGGGCACGTTCCTGTGTGAGCTGCCCCAGTTGTTCCTGCTGCAGCAGAGGGGTTGGACTCAATCTTCAGAGGTCCCTTCCAACCCCAGTGATTCTATAAATTGTAAGAACTATTGAAGCTTTTATTTCTCTCTTTTTTTAATCGTTAAAATATAGTTACATACAATAGCTCCTACCTCCTTGTCCCACATGCTGCTCTCAGCTCAGATCTTGTGCACCCAAATGTTTCTTTTTTTTCCCCTCTTCCTTGCCAGAGCCCTGGTTGGGCTTCTCAGATTTCTTTCTTTGTCATCTGTTCAGCTTTCCCTGGAAAAGCTCAGACCTGTTCTCTGGAGCTAGGGAATCCTCCATTCAGGTTCCTAGCATGTGGCTGCTCTTTTCTGCTTCTACTGTTCACTTAGAGTGCTTCTCACTGTGTTTTTAGAGTTAATTTTAGCTGATGAAAAACATTGACCCTGGAGAAGAGCCATCCTAAGCAAGGGGAAGTGCTGATTTACAGGGGGAGCAGATGCAGTTCTTAACGTAGGGAGCCAAGATTCTCTCAACATAGAAGTAAATAAGGAAACTGAAATCAGGTTGATGCACATGCTATGCTAAAATGCAAGTCAGAATGTACTTTTTTAAGGTTCTCTGTGTCGTAGATTTGTTGGCAGAGAAAAAGATGAGAGTAGGTAAGTTTTACCACTTAATGGTCAAATTAAAAGCTAAGGTATGTATTTGGAAACAGGGTTGTATCAGTAGTTTGAGAAGATAGTTCTGGAACTTATATTTGAATGTGGTGACATCTCTGCATAAATAATTTCACCACTAGTTGAAAATGAAAATCTTTCATCTGGGAGAGATCCAGGATAAAACCTGTGATAAAGGCATCTTCTGATCTGAGAAAGTTTTCTGATATGATCTTCGGCCTGGTGGTGGGCACCTGAACCAAGGCACATCATGCCAGAAGTGTGATTTGTGTTCCTGAAATAGTATGTTTTTCAATTTGAAGCATTGGGAGGCAGAGAACACTGTGATAGGTCTGGCTCATGGGACTCTGTCACTAGACCCAAAATGAAAAAAAGCAGAAGGCCTTGCTATTAAATTGGTGCCTGAGCTGCTTGGAAATGCTATATTATATTCTCTTCACCTTTATATTTTGAGTGGTCCCTGTTCATGTGTGTGGACCCTAGGTTCAGGGCAGATACTTTCATGTACACATGGTCACACTAAGAACACACCCAAGTGCCACCTCTGTACATGCAGTTGTCCTGTTTGCCCAGAATTTACCTTCTGCATCTCATTGAAAAATCACTAATACTTGCAAATTACTACAACTTTCTAGGTCAATATGATTTCTTTTAATTGTATGCATTTTTTCACATATTTTAATATCTGTTCCTCAGCTTCAACACTGGCATAGCTGCAGCTTTAAGTCATTGCCTCAGCCACTTCTGTGTGCCAATGTAAGTGGTTTTCCTACTTCAACCATGCTGTTTTGATTGTATTTTTTGGTAGAAAGCTCTTGGTGGCAGTAGCAGCTGAAGCATCTCTTAAAGCACCAGATATGTTACATCTGAAAGGAATTTTATGCTTTTTTTTCTTAGAGGTAGGGGATGTTCTAAAACATCCTTTTCACCAGAGCAGCCAGTGATAGGACAAGGGGTAATGGTTTTAAACTGGAAAAGGGGAGATTTAGGTTAGATATTAGAAATAAATTCTTTACCATGAGGGTGGTGAGACTGGAATAGGTTGCCCAGGGAAGCTGTGGAAGCCCCATTCCTGGAAGTGTTCAAGGCCAGAGTGGATGAGGCTTGTGCAGCCTGGTCTGGTGGGAGATGTCAGCAGACGGGTTGGAGCCTGATGATCTTGAAGGTCCCTTCCAACCTTCACCATTCTATGATGAATATAAAAATCTGATTTTGGCTTTATCTCAAATGTGAAAATAAAGTGTCACTAGTGCATACCAGGGTGTATAGATGTGCTCAGAAACTCAGCTGGGTTTGAACAAAAGAAGAAGGAGTGAGGATAGTTTCTTCACTTGTAGATCTGTCAAGAAAAAGCATCGAGGCATGTGGTTAATGCTGTGACATTCTAAAAGTTGAAATTAAATTGTATGTAGCTGATCCTTAATGCAGAAGTGACTAGAGTCATGAACCTGTTTCTAAAGAGATGTCTGTAAGTCACAGGTCAGATTTCACAAGAGAAAACTGAAGGTTGCAGATGCCATTGGGATTTCTTGTTGTTTTTTTCTAACCTCATTGAGCCTGGTCATACTACAGAAATTCTGAGACCTTTCTACTGCAAAATTCAGTATTTGTGTTTCATTCCAAATGCTTTTTAAATCTTGGAAAAATATTGCCCCATCAGCCATTGCTGACTTAGATCTTGAAGTCCATAAATGGGTAATGGCTGACTAGAGTTAGGGCTAAATATGTTTGAAACTAAAATAAACTGTAGGAGGAGAATGTGAACCTGTTGTCAAAGTACTGTCATGTTCTGTCTGGAAACAGTTTCAGAATTAATTCCCTCTCTTCTGAACTTAGAGGTGTTGAAAATGCTTAATATTATAAGTGACAAAAATATCAGTAACTTTTGTATGATTTGTAGAGAAAGTCAGGAACTTTTGATTGTTGCTAATATAAAGGATAGAAACATCTATTGAACATCTATAGAAACTCTATTCATGTTTCTTCATTTGGGAAAGCTAATCTTGCTGCATGTTGGAGAAAAGAGTGGAAATTATTACTGGAAAAGGGCAAATGCTGTAAAAAGAAGAGTTGGACTGGTTTATTTAAAAAAAACAAACAAACTTGGTATGCCAGATGGCTATGAAGTAAATGTTGGTAAACCTTCCTTTAATGCTTAACAGTAAGTTGTGGATGGTAGAAACCTCTTACATGTGTTTTGTTTTCCTTTGAAGGGTCCAGATCACCAGACACTCTTATTTAACTATGGAGCTGTTCAGAATATTGCACATCTGTTAGTTTCCACCTCCTACAAAGTAAGACATTAAGATAATTCTATACTTTATACATATTATGAAAGGAAAACAAATGAAGATTATCAAACCTATGTCTCTGTGTGTGAACTCAAACTATAAACAGCTATAATGTGTGTTTCTAGAATAACATGTTTTTACTGGCCATATGGGTTTTTATCAAAATGAGACCTATTGTTTTGGAGTGCTGTGTGAAGTTAAAACACTATTAATTAAAACCAAGCTGGCTGTTGTTGATCCAAAGGAGAACAGTCACTTGGCAACTCAATAAAAATGGTCTAATATGTTGAACGATAAATGAGAAAAAAGAACTAAGCTGAAGAGAAGTAAATGTGCAGTGTCCTAAACAGAAGTCATGCCTGTGAAGACATGGATATCAGATGTATCAAGGTCACCAGCTACTTTGGTGCTGACTTCCCTGAGTCTGGAGTTCCATTCTCTCCTGTGTTTCGGAAGTCCACCCTGGACTGTCTGACAGTGCCACCTCTGGGGAATAGCAGCAACACTACCTGTCACTTGCTGGCAAGGAGGTTCAACTAACTCTCTTCAGTCTAAGGCCCAAGTTCAGATCCTGAGCACACCTTGGGAGCCTCCTGTCAGTGACTTAATACAATATTTGAGTGCATTAAATGCTTTCTGAGGCTTTTCTGTGTGGTTTGTTTTTTTGAGGGCTAACACCTGTCTGCTGTGCAAATAGTTTAAAGATCTGTCCAAAGCAAATCCTTTGAGCTCTAAGGAGCTGAACTTCCATGGAATTTCTGACCAAGATATGGATTTATCCCCCTTCAGAAAGTATCAGTCGTCATTCTGAAAATAAGAAACACTTCAAACTATCCAAATACATCTTGAGTTATTTTTATTACAGTACCTAATACAAACTATCTAATATGTTATCATGCCACTTTTATTTTATGGAAAGTAGGCTGTTAGCTGGTTGGTTGAGGATGGGTGAGATAATTATGCTTGTCTGTTTGGATCTGCCTAATGCAGAACATTTTTTATAGTGTCTTTTGGAAGGAAAACTGAAAGCAAAGGGAAATTTGGTGTTCTGTTCCAAGGGCTTGTTGGTTTCATGTGTGCTGCTTTTTGTTTGGTTTGGGGTTTTTTAATAAATCCAGTAAGGAACTAGGTGGTCATCAATATTTTGTTAGTGAGACTGATGAGCTTCTGTTTTCTGTCTGTACTAATCAGTTTTCAGCATGAACAGGCAACATTTTCCTGAGAAGCCAAGTGTGAGCTAGATGTTTCCATCTGCCTTTTTATTAATCATCTACATTTCTTAGTGATTATACAGAATTATTTTCTACAAGCCTATACAGCAGATTAAACCAACTTTTCAGTCATAATTTACATTTATCCTTCATATATTGATATTTTTACACAGGTTCGAATGCAGGCATTGAAATGCTTCTCAGTTCTAGCCTTTGAAAACCCACAGGTATCAATGACTCTTGTAAATGGTAAGTATCATGTTCCTGTTGCTTGTTTGACACTCATCTAATTGCCTGGCTGAGTCAGAATGACTTGGAGTTCTCTTTCATTGCTTGCAGTGTCAGTGGATGGAGAATTGTTACCACAAATTTTTGTGAAGATGTTACAAAGGGACAAGCCCATTGAAATGCAGCTCACAGCAGCCAAATGGTAATTTCCATGAGGAATTAGAGTGAAATAGCATGCATTTTAATCCTTATTAACTGTTCTCTTTTTGCTTGTAGTAATACGTGATCTAAAACCTTAGGAGTAATTATAGATACTTCAATCTTTGCTGTACATAAACAGGAAAAAATGTTGCTGGACAGCACTTTTGTCAGGAATGTGTATTCAGACAGATGGATTTTCATAAGCTGAACTACAGTGTTCACAAGTAGCTTGGATTTTATAGGTTGTACTTTCACCAGGCTATGGTCAGTTGTGTGTCTTTGCAGATATAAAACTGAGATGCCCTCAGGTTGTACAAGTTCATGTCCCTGTTGCACTGCTGCTAAAAGAACTGACTCTGGGGCTGTGATGTGTTGAGAACTGTATGCACTAAGATGACAAGAGTCCCCCTTCCCAGCTGTTTTAATTAAAATAGATTATTCTTTAGGTTTCATTTGCTCATACATCAGAATTAATATTGTTCATTAGATAGTTAAAATCAAACTTTCCCTTCTGGTTTGGGCATTTTTCTATGTGTTCATGATGTTCTACTCTGTGTCAAAATGTGACCAGGTTTCATTACAGCAACACCATGGTTAAACTCACTTCATAAACTGGGAATTGAGCCTTTTTAACATCCTTTTCCTTTGTGTATAATAATAATGGAATAAATTACTTCAGGAGTTTAAAGAGAGAAAAATACCCATCACTATAACTACTACAGTTAATGGCAACTTCAAGAGTTTGGTCACTGATATGTTGTTTGATCTTTCTGTTAGTTTTTGGTGGGTTATTTTTGCCCTGGATTTCAGTGAGTTCTCTGGATCAGTTCACCAAACAGTTTCACTGATGCTCGTCTTGGAGCAAGGTCTTGAGATTCTGTGTGAGGAACAAGTGGGGTAGGGAGGATGGCTGCTTTTGTAATGTTGCCAGTTTATGATGGGTTGTTTCAGGTAATCCCACTCTGTGTGGGAGGTCCATCCTGGGACCTCCCATGTTCCCTTCCAGCCACAATTGATCATGCAGTCTGGTTTCACTGGCTTTGCCAGGTACCTCTTAGTAAAGAAGGCAAATCAACTGCACTGTAGCAGTCTCAGTTCTCATTGATTTTTGTGGGTTTTGAGAATTCAGAGAATACATAGAGAATTGTAGAAATAATAGTTTTTATTGATCTCAACATACAAGACAGTTGATATGTCTTGAAGGCAGGTTGGAGTTAAAAGGATTGTTCTAGCTCTGGACTGTCTTCTTGTTCTGGAATGAATGATCCCAGGTCTTTTGGTGTTCTTGACTGATCTGCTGCAGATGGGAAGGACAGTCCCATCTTTTGCTTGGGCTCAAGTGGACCTTTGAAAGCATGAAAGAAAATGATTTATTGAAAAGCAAAAAAGAAAATGGCAGAAAAATGGAAGACAAATCAATATCTTTGAGTTTCAGATTGGTTTTCTAATTAGTCCACAGGCAGCCATCCTTGGTAGGGCACTCAAGGCCACAGTTTCACAACAGTCCTGGGGGTTTGCAAAGAGCTGCTGGCTTTTTTTTTTATAGATCCATTCCCTACTTGATTCCAAGTTAGACTACCTGTCTTTTCTGGTTTTCTAATGAGTAGTAGGTGAAATTATCACAGGTCCTATCTTTTCTGCTTCTTAATTAGGCTTCACTCCTGCCTTGCCAGCTTTGGTCAGTTAGTCTGCAGTTCCTCTCTGATTTATTAGTAGAATCCTTGGAATGTGGATTTAGATTTTCTTGATTGAAATGGAGTAAAGATCCTTCAGTTGATAAGCAGTGTTGGCACAGAGGGAAGAGCATTAAGCCTCTTGGGAGAGTGATTTGCAGCTGCAAGTGGAGTCATAACCTTTTCTACTAAAATGATCCAAATGGCTTCCAGCTAAGCCAAGCCTATTTTACCTGCAGTAATTGTACTTTAACTCATTTCATGTTTGAGATGGAGCTCCTTTGTCTGGCAAATAAGGTCTAGCTGGGCTAAATGGCAAGTGCAAGACAGGTGCTTTCCTCCCAATTGTTCAGGTGTGAAAATGAGTATTTTCTGCTGTCAGCTGCAACACTTGGGCAGTAAAAGTTTATAGTGATCTCTGCCAACAGTCAAGTCTTAACCTTTTATGTTTTTACATGGGCTTGTAGTGAGAGGACAAGGGGCAACAGTTTTAAACTGAAAAAAGAGAGATTTAGGTTAGAGATCAGGAGGAAATTCGTTAGAATGAGGGTGGCGAGAGCCTGGCCCAGGTTGCCCAGGGAAGCTGTGGCTGCCCCATCCCTGGCAGTGTTGAAGGGCAGGTTGGATGGGGCTTGGAGCACCCTGGGCTGGTGGGAGGTGTCCCTGCCCATGCAGGGGGTTTGGGACTAGATGATCTTTAAGGTCCTTTCCAACCCAAACCATTTTATGATTCTATGATCTTCCAAGAAACCCTATGAAAAGACTTGTGATGATGGGATTTTAGGTCTTGGCAGGTGTTTGGAACAGGATCAGTGATGTTACTATGTGGTTGCAGTGGGTTAGCAGCATGTCACTGCTCCTTAGCTCATCAGTTGTAACTGACCCTGTGTACACCTTTAACCTGCCCAGTTGAGGGTTTAAACATTTTAGTTGCAAGTCACCCATTCTGAAATTCAGTTATTTTTTTAACCCCAACTGTGACGTGGTACTTGACTGTGACGTGGTACTTGACTGTGACGTGGTACTTGACTGTGACGTGGTACTTGACTGTGACGTGGTACTTGACTGTGACGTGGTACTTGACTGTGACGTGGTACTTGACTGTGACGTGGTACTTGACTGTGACGTGGTACTTGACTGTGACGTGGTACTTGACTGTGACGTGGTACTTGACTGTGACGTGGTACTTGACTGTGACGTGGTACTTGACTGTGACGTGGTACTTGACTGTGACGTGGTACTTGACTGTGACGTGGTACTTGACTGTGACGTGGTACTTGACTGTGACGTGGTACTTGACTGTGACGTGGTACTTGACTGTGACGTGGTACTTGACTGTGACGTGGTACTTGACTGTGACGTGGTACTTGACTGTGACGTGGTACTTGACTGTGACGTGGTACTTGACTGTGACGTGGTACTTGACTGTGACGTGGTACTTGACTGTGACGTGGTACTTGACTGTGACGTGGTACTTGACTGTGACGTGGTACTTGACTGTGACGTGGTACTTGACTGTGACGTGGTACTTGACTGTGACGTGGTACTTGACTGTGACGTGGTACTTGACTGTGACGTGGTACTTGACTGTGACGTGGTACTTGACTGTGACGTGGTACTTGACTGTGACGTGGTACTTGACTGTGACGTGGTACTTGACTGTGACGTGGTACTTGACTGTGACGTGGTACTTGACTGTGACGTGGTACTTGACTGTGACGTGGTACTTGACTGTGACGTGGTACTTGACTGTGACGTGGTACTTGACTGTGACGTGGTACTTGACTGTGACGTGGTACTTGACTGTGACGTGGTACTTGACTGTGACGTGGTACTTGACTGTGACGTGGTACTTGACTGTGACGTGGTACTTGACTGTGACGTGGTACTTGACTGTGACGTGGTACTTGACTGTGACGTGGTACTTGACTGTGACGTGGTACTTGACTGTGACGTGGTACTTGACTGTGACGTGGTACTTGACTGTGACGTGGTACTTGACTGTGACGTGGTACTTGACTGTGACGTGGTACTTGACTGTTCCTGCACTGAACGCAGAGCAGTGATCCCACTATTCATTCCACTTCTTCCTAGCAGAGCATGTAAAAACTATACTACATTTATTGGTCGCTAACTACTTCGCATTTCTGGTAGCTCAGAGCCCATGTACAGGTGAATTAACAAAGCACCTTTGTGTCTGGTGTTGTGTGTCAACATTGTAGTGCCAGACCTTGGAGTTGTCATATCCACTGTCCAAGCTGTTGTCTAATAAGGAGCAAGTGCTCATTTCGTTCAGTCTCAGAGACTTAACTGGATTCATTGTGAGCCAGGATGTGCTTCTTCCAGCAGAGTGTGAAGACATGCCTGTGGATGAGCATCTCCAGATACATGTGGACAGTGGTACCACATCTCCTAGGCTGATGCAAAGCTTGAAGTGTTTCTGACTAAACTGTTGAGCTGCCAGGCCTGATTCTCTCCTGATTGTTTTAAGTGCTGGCCCCTGATGTCTGCAGCAAACAACAGGTCTATGTAGATTGCTCCTTTATCTTAATGTAAGCTGTTCACTTTGGGTTTGGTTTTTTTGTTGATAAAAGAGAATTATGGGTCAATCTAGTTTAGTTAAACCTTTTTTGACCAGTGTGTGGTGCATGTACTGACAGGAGCTCCCGTGAGGTGTCTGGTGCTAGAAATCTGCCTGGAATAGGTTGTGTGCCCCGCCCTGGTAAGACCAAACATACTTAAATCAATGGTAGAACAAAGGGGAGTGCCTTCCATTAGTACAGCTGGTTGTTCTGCAGTGTCTTACTGAAGTGCCTAAAACCCAGTGACAGGTGAATGTTTGTTTTGCTGTGTTGTTCCAGCCTTACTTCCATGTGCAGAGCAGGAGCGATACGGACAGACGATTCCTGCATCGTTCTTAAGGTGAGCTGGGTCAACTGTGTTCTCCTTCAAATGTCTTCCTCACATAGGGCTGTGCTGGTTTTATTTGTCTCGTGTAAAAAGAGGCCCCAAATCTGTTACACTGAAGATTTCTTTCAATAAAAAATCATGGTCGATATTTAGAAATACATATCCCAGAGTTCAACACTCATCCATGGAGGTTTGTAATAATTTCAGTAACTGTTTGTAAATCACATCAAAACAATGTTACTGCCTTGGTGTCTGTGTATGAACAAGGCACCAGTTTGTCTTTCAGTAGCTTATTTCACAAGACTCTAGTCAGAATACTTGCACAATCTATACGTGGAGTCTGTCACAAGCAGATGATTTATCAGGTTTCACAATGTTTTGCTGTGTTTGTCTGCTTCATATTTGGCTAGAGAAACTTGTTATTAAAGAAACTGGGCTGAATGTTGGGTTTGATTTTTATACTGGATGGAACTTTATAAGGAAATTCAGTGAGGGAGACTTCATTAAATACCAAAGAAATGTAATCTCTTTCTTTATAGTCACACTTGTATAGCTAGTTAGAAAAAAAAAGCTGTTGATGAGCAAGCACATCAGCCAGAGATCAGGTAATTACTAACACTGCTTGTTTCTCCATGAGATATTGAAGTATAACTGTAGTACTGCTGTAAGAAAATATGTTTGCTTTCTTTGATAATTACTGTAGCAGTCAGACAGACTCCAAAGCTTCTAGTATGTTTTTAGTACCCTTCATTCTAGAGAATAACACATAGTTCAAACTTAAGGAAATGCAGTTTAATAGCCTGAAAAAATAATTATTTCTCCATGTGTGCCCCTGTACTGAGATGGAGACCACATGTGCTCTTGGAATGGGCCTGGCAATTGAAGGGCTGATCAGCAGAGCAGTCACTGTTGGGTTTGGTGGTGTGTGATCTGAGACCCAGGAACTTTCCCAGGAGCTCTCTGGCTGCCATGGCCCCTCTGTGGTGTTCACATCCCCTTGGGAACAGACAGGTGATCAGTGTATGTGTGAGCAGAGTGTGCTGCAGTCTGAGGCACCACGAAGAGCTGAGCACTGCTTAAAGCAACACATTCTCACCACCAAGTGCTACTGAGGAGTGTCTTCTGGCTGTGGTGTGGTGCAAACCCCTGGTGGCTCCTGCAGGCTCACATTTGAAACCAGACAGCTATCACCAGGGTGTCAGGAGCTGTCCCATGCTCCTACTCTTTGGTAATGCTGGGTAAAGAGTAGGTTGTATGTAAGGTACTGGAGTAAGACAGCATATTCCTTCCCGTCAATGTCCATGGTATCCAGTCTGGCCTATCAACTGCTTTTGTTGGTGGGATTTTGGTATCCATCGTTCTGGGTGATGACAGATGAAAAATCCAGATGTTGGCTGAAACAAAGGTCCATCCCAACTGTCTTTTTACATGAGAAAGTCCAAAATGCAATTAATTTCATTGTTGATGGTTGTATCTGGTCTTGCAGTAAGGGAGGGAGCCAGGCTGCATCCTGCTCCCTTGGTCTTCTACTGAGCTTTTTTCCAAATTGATGCTCTGGTTCCCTGCTCTTCCTTCTTACAACAACTACAAACTGAGGGATTACGATTCTGTGCTCTCAACCTGTCTCACTCCTGCAAACCGTATTCTTTTGAAATGTCTTCCCTTCAGAAATCCCCCATGTGAAATCCCTGGGCTCTGTCCTGGTCAGGACATGTGTGTTCCAGAAGAGCTCTGCTCTGGGGAGAAGAGTTGGGGGGCTGGGGCTTTGGGAGCTGCAGCCCTTGCAGGCCATTCTGAACTGCTATGCTTGCCAGCCCACTGCAGCAGCAGCACTTTCTTTCTTATGGAAGCTGCAGATAAATGTTTTGAGCCATGGACTAAGCATTGTTTTAGTGAGAGCAAACAAAAGAGTGAGGAGAAAGGGGAGGCACAGCATCTTGCCTTCTTGTTCAAACATCTCGGGTAACTTTTCTTCTGGGGTCACTCCAGGAGCTCATAGTTTTAAGATAACACAGTGTCTGAGTTTGTGTTACATCCAGTTACAAGTTGTTTGACCTCTGGTGAACTAAAACAAAGCAGTGTTCCCTTTTGTTTTCCAACATTATTAAAGAGAACTGTGACCCTTTGCTGTCCAATTTTTGTTTGGAGGACAGTCAAGGATGTGTGTAGATATGATCTGATGTATTTTCACCGCCCAGTTTGAGCAGGGAGTTGACCTGTAGCACGTGAAAAAAATAAAATTGTTGGGATGGGGAGAAGGCAGAGGAGGCTGATAGATGATTTGGTTGGAAGGGAAATTACTTTTTTGGAATCCTAATTAAGAAAGTGACTCTTTGTTCAGATGATTTGATGCATCTCAGTGATACCATGTGAATTAAGTATTCCATCTTTACAGTGCATTTTCAGACTTCCATCTGCTAGCCAGAAAAGGTCAGAAGTGCTTTGTGGCTCTTCATCTTTCACTTCTAATACAGCCCCCTACTCTGCATTAATTACACTGTACAGGCCTGTAGATCTGGTGGAACTGTTAAAATGTCTCTTTCATTTTGTTTAATTTTAAACAGATGGAACTGCTGAAAATTGAAAAGTATGAGATTTGTGTTTCTTGGGTGCTTGCATCCAGTGACTCAATGTCTAGCCTTTGAATTCCAAGAAATAGCTTAATTCAGGCCATTTGTCTTTGCAAAGAGTTGGGAAGTACATTATCTTTGTGACTTAGACGTCAAGTTCCACTTCCTTTCCTTCTTATGCAACCTTAATATAATTTTTTTTAGAGCTTATATTCAGCTTTCATTATTTTATTTATGTAGCCCCAGTTTTTAATATACTTTATGCCAACTTGCTAAATAAAACTGATGGTATTTAATAACTATGGTGCAGATCTGAATTCTCAAGTATAAAAAGTAAGTGATAATGAAATGCCTGAAGGCTTTTAAAGCAAACTTTGGACACACTTGTCAGGCATCCTAGAAAACTCTTTTGGAATGAGGTAATTTCTGAGGGCTGCTTGAATTTACCAACCCTCAGCAGCTGTCTTCTCTTTCAAAGAGCTGTGGTGAACTTCCCGAGGAAGCAGGAGATCTGTAGGTGTGTCTATGCTTTTAGAATCACTTTTCAGCTGCTGAGGCTGCAGGTCTCTCCCCAAGTGACAGACACACACAGAGGAAGTGCTTCAGCTCACTGGATCAGGGCAGGGTTTGCAACCTAAATGGTAATTCCTTTTTAATGAATGTAAGCAAGTCCTGTAGCTCTACTTGCTTACCTGTGGAGAGAAGAGATTTATCTATGCGTTCGTTTCAACAGTCAATGGCTAAATGTTATTTTGGATCCCCAAACACAGAACTTCGGTGTCACGGTTTGACTTGGGATCAGCAATTAAACCAGAGACAATATTTGGGAGGCATTTTCATTAGTGTAGTTCTGTTGAAGCCAGTGGAGTTACACGAGCCAAAAGCTTGATATTTTACCTCATCCAATTCCATACTTACATTTGAGGAGGCTTGAGTGGATGGAACCCCAACCACTAGAGGACTGGTCTTTCCAGAGTTAAGTGCTTTCCATTGAGCTTCTGGTAAAGAAAGATCTTACTAGTTTTAATATTTAAAGCAGAGAAGGTCTGACAAAAATGTTGCCATGTGAGTGTAACCAAGGTAGGGGAGAATGTCAGCATACGGCAGAATGGACCTGGATTCCAAGTGGGCTTCATTTCTGGTTGACCAAATATACTTCTCAGGAGTAGTCCTCCCTTCGTACTACTCCTCACAACCAGTGTGGGTGAAGGGACCCTGAGATTATTTTTTGATTGCTTTGTCTTTAGTCAATTCTAGATTGCACAAGGGCAGGAGGGATCAAGTACTTGAGGGCAGCTTGGGTACTTTTGGTTCTTGTGTGTAATAAGAATAAACCTGTGAAAAGTTCTGAGGGGATTTGTTTGTTTTAGCTTTTGCAAAACTTTGAGCATGGTCACTTCTAAACGTGACATTCATGAAAACTAATTTTGACTGCATGGGAAGCTGGTTGAAAGTAGCTTGCTGTGTACTTAGTAATGCCTGAACCATTTCTCCGTGTGTAGTCTTTAAAACCACTACAGTCTTTCTGTCTGAAGGTACTGATCGAAAGAACATTGTTGAGAATTGCTCTGGGTTAGCTGTTGGGTTGGTTTTTTTTGGTGAGCTGCTTTCTGAATGTTGCTGCGCTGAACAATGGTGAGATTACTGGTTTGTGGTAACTTTTCAGACTCTGCCGTGCTTGGTTCGAATGTGCAGTAAGGAAAGGCTGCTGGAGGAGCGAGTGGAAGGAGCAGAAACACTGGCCTATCTGATTGAAACTGACGTGGAGCTCCAGAGAATTGCCAGCATTACCGACCACCTCATCATCATGCTTGCTGACTACTTCAAGTACCCCAGCTCAGTGAGTGCAATCACTGATATCAAGAGGGTATGTGTCCTTACCCAGTTCTGAAGCTTTGAAAATTGTGCAAAGATGGTAGTAGAAATAGTGATGTAACCATATTATAACTGTATGTAAATAGCTAACCAGTCACTGTAAGGAGGATGGATTTGGAAACTTACTAACTTTATAGTTTTCTGTATAAGTATGAAAAATTTCATCTGCTATGCTTGATTTGTGGGAAGGCACCAAGCACCCAGCTTTGTACAAACCTGCACTAAATAACAGTGTCTCCTTCCTAAACATAATCCCTTTGTCTGCATTTCGGGAACTATCTTAGAACAGTAACAATGCTGGCTCAAGATGTATTTTGGGTTGTCAGTACCTGATTCCTCTTCTCTGTCTTCCATAGACCAAGAAGCTCACCCCACTGCTTGCTAACTGCTTTTTCTGGAATTGGTGTTATCTAAGCTACAGTTGTTGTATATGTCTGGACTCCATGTCCTGTAAGAAGGATGGGCTGTGGAAAGTTTAATGTATCTTCACCATACAAGTTTCATTGCAGTTCCTAGAGATAGCAGTGAAGCCCCCAGGCTGAGCTATTGGTTATGTTTCTCCTTTGAAAAGTCTAAAAGACTCGCCTTCAAGAGCCAGAACATTTCAGCTTCCTGAGAGATAACAGCCCATGTGGGGAGAGATTGATTTCAATTTTTAGGTCAGATTTCTTAATGATGTCAAGTTCAGGGAGGGTTCTGTTAAAGCATAAAAACATGTAGATGTCGGGTAGCATTTAATCTCATGGGTTATCTCCACTACCAAGAGGTTGGATTAACAGACACTTGGAGACTTAGTCTCATAGGTGTTGTACTAGGAGTTCTCATCTGTGAGCTTCTTTTACACATTATTTATACACTTTACAAAGCACTAATGGATCAATCAGCCTCAGAAGCAAGATTGGTTTGATATTCCACACTCATTGCCTATTCCCTTTCCCTCTTTCTGAGGCTGATTTTTAGCAAGTTTTTCTCTGAAATGAGCCCAACAGGTAGACTCACTTCTCACTTCGTAGAAGGGGATTGATTCTGCATATAGAGCTGCCTTAAATTCTATGGAGAAATGCAAACTAAAGTGAAAAAATGTAGTTGCAGTGTAACATTAAAAAAGCAGAAGGAAGTTTAGCAGCTGAGTGGGGAGTTAGGGACATTTGGCTGTAGCATCAAAGATGTGATTTAAGTTCCAAATGTGAGTGGGGCAATTCTAAATATTATGACACTGCTCTGAGTGTTCAGAAATCTTGTAAGAACAGTCAGCTGGGAAGCTGTGGTGCTGACTCTGTCAAGAATGCTTTGAATTGCACCCTGTAAGGTAAAAATTCCGTGAGGGAGGCCTCTGCCAAGCAGATTGCTTGTCTGTTTTAAATATTTTAAACAGTGATATAATACATGCTGCTCTGATATAGCTGCACCAGAGACAGTCACTCATACAGCTTAGTTTTTGACAGTTATTTATCTGCTTTGATGCTTAAAACTAGCATTTTTCTGTCCTTTTGTGTCAGCTTCGACTGTTGGATTGTTTGGTGGTACAGAATTGTGAGGGCAAGCAGAGTCACAGCATCATTCTCATTGGAAAGAATGTGAGGAGCTTTGAAAGGCTTAGTTTTCTGTTCAAAGCAGGGTCAGGGCTGAGCTTAGATGAGGTTACTCAAGAGCTGGCTCTTGTAAGCCACTAAAGTTGCGATTAAACAGCCTCTTTGAGCAATCTGTTCCAAAGTTCAACTTTGTTCTGACAGTGAATTTTTATTATTTATATCCAGTCAGAACCTCTCCTGTTTTGATTTGACTGTTGCCTCTTGCTGTCCACCTCTGTAAAGAATCTGGATTCATGTTCTCCTTGTAGGTATTGGAGGGCTGCTCAGGGTCTTGACTCCGCCTTCTCTCCTTCTGGCTGAGCATGCAGGAGTGCAACCATCTGCTCCCCTGAAGTCGAGGCTCTGTGCTCTGCCCTGTGCCTTTCTCACACCTCTCAGGAACTTGACCATCACTATTTTATAGTCTCTATCGCTAGTGCTCCCATTAATCATCACGTCCCCAAGCAGTTCTTCCTGATTTTTGACTAGCCCATCCAGTGGTGCATCACCCAGATTCACCTCTCTAGCACCTGGGTTAAGAAGTTACCTTCAGAAACCTCCTAGACAGCCCACACCCTCCTGTGTGCCCTTCACAGCAGAAGACAGAAGTTAACATCCACCTGAAGATGGAGAGCCTGGAATTTAGAGACTAGCTTTGCTTCCTGCTTTTGCTTCAGTTCTCTTGATAAAAATTCCCTTGGTTCTCTCCCAATTTTTTCACTTCTGGCTCATTTCTGCAAGTTTCTGTTGAGTAAAGAAAAAAACAGTTTTTGCCTTAATGTGGTCTGGATAGAGTTCTAACTTTATAAAAGTGTTTTGGCCATGATTTGCTTAAGTTCACTTACCTGTAACTCAGCAGAGAAGTTATCTTTCTCTCTTTTCTTTTAACCACATGCTTCACTTCAGTTATTGTAGTCAGTTGATAAACGTGGACATCCTTAGTGTGGCAGACAAAACCCTAGAAGATAATCCCTGCTTTGCAACAAAGAAGAATCACACTAGTGGTGTTTTAGTGCCTGATGCTTGTGCTTTGTTTCAACAGCTGGACCACGACTTGAAGCACGCCCACGAGCTGCGCCAGGCGGCTTTCAAGCTCTATGCCTCCCTGGGAGCAAATGATGAAGACATCAGAAAAAAGGTGAGCCTGGGAAAAATGTTAGCACTCAGGCAAAGATGGAGCTGAAAGTTAGGCTGAATCTACGCACTCTCAGCTCCCCCCCTTTTTTTTTCCCATTGTGTAAAATGAGAAGGATTGCTTTCTGTTCTGTTAGTATCAACTTGCACTTTCTTTGCATGGGATTTGAACAAAAAGTTAAAGTTTTGCTGTAACATAATGCAAGAGTAAAGTTTATTTATGTAAACATTCACGGTGATGAACTTGCCTTTCAACCTAGAATCATAGAATCGTTTTGGTTGGAAAGACCTCTAAGATATTTGAGTCCAACCATTAACCTAACTCTGCCCAGTCTGGTGCTAAAACATGTCCCCAAGCACCACATCTACACATCTAAACCATCTCTGGGGATAGTGATTCAAACTTCTCCCTGGGCAGGCTGTTCATGTTTGATAGCCCTTTCAGGGAAGAAGTGTCTCCTGATATCTAATCTGAAGCTCCTCTGGCACAATTGACCCCATTTCCTCTTGTTCTATCACTTGTTACTTGAGAGAAGAGGCTGACCCTCCTGGCTCCAGTCTCCTTTCACCAAAGAGCAAGAAGGTCTCCAATGTGCTGTGGTCCTTGCTACTCATAAGCTGTGCAGGAATCTATATTGTTGTGACATATGTCTAACTCCTGAAACCTATGTTCTGAGGGACAGAATATACCTCTGTTGTCCTGTATCTTATTACAAAACAAGTGTTTTTTTCAAAAATAAACTCTGGACAATTAATCATGTTGGGAAGCAAAGTCAAAATCTGTTCCATGATTCTGAAGTGAGAATGTGCTGTCAGAACAAACAGTTGGTTTGAAAGAGAACAAACTATTCAAACATCACGGGAGGAAGAAGACTGGATGGTTGGGGCACTCTTGTAATTAAACATTTCTGTGTGAAAAAGTGGTGGGAATTTAAACAGTGATTAAAAGCAAAGTTTTTAAAAATTAAACGAGGAGTTGCTATGGCAAATGTGGCAAGTACAGGAGGCAGAATTTTCTGTGTTTATTTGCTGGTTAAAGGGGAAAACTAGAAGGAATAAAGGTTTGCACAGGAAGGAGGCAGGAAATCCGGGTTGAAAAGACAACTAGGAGGAAGGTTTGGCAGTAGGGAACCATGCAGTATCCACACAATTAAAACCCATAAACTTCTGTGTTGTTGTAGGATGAACTTCTTTAGTTAGTAGTGAGGATGATTCTTTTACATATCAAAGCATTGCTTTTAATAAATGTTGGGTTTGAACATGACAAAATGGTGATACAAGAACCATCTTTCATCTTGGTGTTAATTTCCTTTTATCCTAGTCTTCAGTGCTTGTGCTGCCCATGTCTGCACATGACAGATCAACTGCCAGGCCATTTTACTTTCCAGAAAGCTCCTCAGCACGTCTATAATCTGTAGTTTGTACACAAAAGGAGCACTCAAACGTACTCCTTTTGTTTTAAGATGACATTAAGGGTAATTCATATATATTCATATATATATATATCGTTCCTTGATGATGAATGAAAATAACTTCCGAAGCAGTAGTGGAGCTCAGAATGTAGATGCTGTTTCTAAATTGCGTGCAGACACATGCTGCTTTTCACCTAATCTGGGAAGAGAATGTGGCTTCCTGGTTTTAGCTACAGTTTTTTATATGCAATATTCAAAATGCTACATCAGCCCATCAGTGTCCCTGTTTGATCCGTGTAACATGAACTCCTTTTTGCTGCAGATCATTGAGACTGAAAACATGATGGATCGGATTGTGAACGGCTTGTCTGAGTCTAGTATCAAGGTGCGATTAGCTGCAGTCAGGTAGGAGGCTCTTCTGGTTCATACCAACACTTCTGTCTTGGCAAAGCTCTGGTAGAATGCTCTTGTTAGAATGTTTGCTAATTTTTCAAAAGCTAATCTGAAGTAATTTCTACTGTTGGTAAATGTATTAGGGGAGAAGGGGGAGTTATCCTGGACTAGTACAGTGTCTTCTCTCTGCTGTTTACAGTTTGTTACTTAATTGCCCAGCTGAATCTCTGAAGGAGCAGAATGTGTGTTGCAGCAGTGGATGTGTGTGTGTTTCACAGTGAAGGTTTCTTTCCTGTTACAGATGTTTGCACAGTTTGTCCCGTTCTGTACAGCAGCTCAGGACAAGTTTTCAGGATCATGCTGTATGGAAACCTTTAATGAAGGTAAGTAAAGAGAAGTCAGGCCGTGATTACTGAAGTGTTCTGTTAAAGGGGGGGGTCTGGTAGAGTTCTCGGGGTGTCTCGGCAGGGTCTGTGAGGGGTCTGGGAAGGG